GGACGCCTAGGAATTCGCAAAGAAGTGCGACAAGTGTCAGTGTTTTGTCACTGTGCCTAGGCAGCCACCAGAGGAACTCACGGTCATCACAAGTCCGTGGTCATTCTCCAAATGGGGCATCGACATCCTTGGCCCCTTATCTCTCAGCAGAGGACAATGCAAGTTTGTGGTAGTAGCAGTGGACTACTTCACTAAATGGGCAGAGGCTGAACCCTTAGCAAAGATAACAGACGTAAAGTGTGAAAGATTTTATTTGGAAAAACCTGGTCTATAGCTTCGGGATACCCCACGCCATTGTCAGCGACAACGCCAAGTAGTTCGACAACAAACTCCTGAACTTTTTCTGCTCTGACCTTTAAATAAAGCAGCCTCTTTCTAGCCCAGTGCACCCACAGGAAAACAGACAAGTAGGAGTCATGGTTAGGACTGTTTTACACAACCTAAAGACAAGGCTCAAAAGGGCAAAGGGTCTTTGGGTTGACGAACTCTCAAGTGTATTATGGGCCTACCGAACCCCCCTTTTTCCCTCACCTTCAGAACTGAGGCTGTCATTCCTGTGGAGATATGAGTACATTCTCTAAGGGTCCAACACCATGACCCCATCACCAATGAGGAAGGACTCCGCATCAACACCGACTTCGTAGAAGAGGCAAGGGAGATGGAAATAGTCCGCAACGCGGAGTACAAGTGCCACTTGGTAAAGTACTACAACTCGAGGGTGAAGTTTCGTTCCTTCCAACTAGGAGATTTGGTCCTTAAGAAAGTGATCCTTGCCACTAAGAATTCACGAGAAGGAAAGTTGGGACCAAATAAGAAATACCCTACCTCATAACAGAAATGGTGAGGCCAGGCACCTATAAGTTACAGAGTTCTGAGAGGAAGGTTAACTTGATCCAAAATGTGCCCAAGTGCAGGCGGTCTAGTTGTAATAATAATCCAATTAAGTCCAGAGTCGAATCCACAGGGAACTATTGTTGATGTTTCAAAGTAAGCAATGACAAAGAACATGTGACTGTAACCTTTGAGATTTATAGTGAGGATGTTTACGGATTTTCCTAGGCCAAATATATAATTCTTTCCAAGAAGATTTTCTAGACAAAATATAAGATAAATTCGACTATAAAAAGTCACTCTTTAGTTTAAGAATCTGGACATGTAGTTAATCATCTGGTTTATTATACTTGTGCTTGGTAACTCAATTAACTCCTATGTCAACATAAAGTTAACCGGAAGATAAAGATAGATTGTGAGAATTAAGAGTATGATTCTGATGTTTTTGTAGAGGATTACAAGAATTATTTGTGCCGAGACTCAATCTGTCTACAAACAAGCAAGTGTCTCTACAAGACATCCAATCATTGCGTTAATATTCCATTCTTTTAAATGAAGCACAATAATGGTGAAGATTGAAATGTAGACATAAAGATCTAGTCGGGGTACTTGCCTAGAACCAATGAGTCTTTCTATACAAGAGTCATCTATGTCATAGAAAACACCCATGGTTGTACAAAGTACCTTAACTTTGATAGATGCATTCAATCATTTAATAAGCAGGTGAAATATAAAGCATTTAAGGATAAACAAACTACACAAATATAACTTCTAGATGATGTATACATGTCTATCACCTCTTGCTAAAGAGCGAATGAGGAACTACTCACTCTTCATGACTTTGGTAAAGCTAGAAAAGTGAGTGATGCTCATCCCTCCAAGTAGAGCAGTTACAAAATAAAATACACTAAACAAGGAGCCAATCTTCGACGAAGAATGAGTGAATCACATTCCACCCTTCATGGCTTTGGTAAAGCTCTAGAAAAGTGGAAGAGTTTCACTCCTCTAAGGGAAGAAGGAAGCTCAAACAATGGAAGTAAAAGAAACTAATAATGAAGTACAAGAAAGCAACAATAAGGTAAAAGAAAGCAATAATAAAGTAAAAGAAAGCTAGTTACTTTTGAAGGGTTTTTCCAGTTCCAAAGATGATCCTTTACAAGTCCTAAGGGGTGGCATTTATAGGCAACAAGGGAGGGTAAACTGTCTTGATTGTAGACTTTGAATTACACTTTGATCCCTCTTTGTTTTGAGCTGTGACAGTTGGCATCCCTTTAGTTTGTAGCTTTGATAGTTGGCTCCCTTGTAATTTGTAGCTTTGACACAGTTGGCACACTTTTAGTTTTTAGCTTCGACAGTTGGCTCCCCTAAAAAGAACAACAATTAATGCATTATCCCTAATTCACACACTAATCGTAATTTGACTTACTTTGACTCTTTTAACTTTGTTTAACTAACACAATTGACATATTAACTTAACTAAATTATGCATTAATTAGGGTTAATCAAAGGTTTTGCCCCATCCATAGAATGCTGAGCACCTAAAGAGGTACTATCAGTGATACCTTAAGAGAGTAGAAAAGTTAGGGACTTGATTTTATTTTTTGTACTTTTTTGGGGGCTATTACCCAATATTGCTTGACATGAGTAGTGAATAAATAAAACTTTCTAGATTTACTCCAAAAGACCTTTGCATTTTTGTATTCAATTTCAAAGGAACATCAGTGGCAAAAACCACTTTTACAAAAGTCGGGCTACAAAATGTTTTCCCTAAAAAAAAAAAATCAAAGCCCCCAACACCCAAACTATTCTCATGGTCCTCCTCCTCATCATCATCTACATGATCAGAGCCTCCATCACCATCATCAGGCACCTCAGTTGGCACGAAACCTGAAAGGTCAACATCAGGGAAAGAAGCAAAAATCTTTCCTCAGAGCTCCTTATAACCGTCAATGAAAGTATCTGCAAGGCCATTTTCCATGTCCACCTCAGCCTAAGAAGCTCTCTTATGAACAGCCTTCATCTCCAGCTTTGCAATAGCCTCTCTGAGCATGGCCCTCTCGCGAGTCTCTGCAAGCTTAGCCTCACTGAGCATGGCTCTCTCACGAACCTCCACAAGCTCAGCCTCCCTGAGCGCGTCCTTCTCATGGGTCACCAAAAGCTCAGACTCAAGTTTAGTTGCCCTCTCACGGGCCTCCACAAGCTCAGTCTCGAGCTTAGCCACCCTCCCATGGGTCGCCGAAAGCTCAGTCTCAAGACTAGTCGCCCTCTCACGGGTCGACACAAGATCAATATTAGAAGCCCTGCCAGCATCTTCAAGCTTAGCAATCCTCCCCTGAGTAGCAAAGAGCTCCTTTTGCACAACATCGTGACCCTACTTCATCTTGTCGTGACAATAGGCCCTTGAAAGAAAACACATAGATGCAGTAGAAGTCTGAAGAAAGATAAAATTCAAAAGAATGTCAGAAGCTTAAAAAAGGACTAGAGAAAGGGAGACAACCGACCTTTACCTAAGCCAGGCCTTCCAAAAAAGAGCTAACGATTCCATTGGTGCCCAGAGCACTAATCTTGCTAACATCGTTGGGAAACACAAACCACCCAAGTTGATCCTTTATGACTGGTGCGTTACCTAACAATGAGTTAATTTGAATTGGTGCCCTTCTTAAAGTTCCCATAGGAGGAGTGGATGAACGGGGGGCAAAAGGTGTGGCCAACAAGGGGGGCTCTAGAGTAGGAGATGCAACTGAAGGAGTCTTCGACTAAGGAGGCACCACATGAGGGGTCACTTGATGGGAGTGCACCCGGGGTACCACTGGAGGAGTTCCTTGAGGACAGCACACCTCGGGAGGTACCATTGGACAAGTCATTTGGGAGGCATCACCCATCCTCGCCACCTTAGGAGGAGGAGGGCTCCTACCAGAAAGGCAGGACCCAATCACCTTTCTATCCACTACAAAGGAAGTAAAGGGTTATCTAGATGAAAAACACCAAGTAAAGGGGAAAAGTACAATAGAGTTAGCATACTCTTTCTTTTCAAAGAGGATCACGAAGATGGTCCACTAGCCCCACCACTATCCTTGGACAAAAGAACTCCCAAGTCTTTGTCAGGATGAGCCCTCACAACGGGTCTGCAAGGGGATGATGAGTGCACATATAAAAAAAATAGGAGAGAGAAGAAAAGAGAAAGAATAAGTGTAGGGTGTACTAAGTCTCTTGGGATCACCATATCGTGTTGGTACCAAAGCCCTATCAACCTCGGAGACCCACTCACCGTCGACAAATAAGAAGCGAGATTTCCACTTGTAACTGTTGGAGCGTAATCCAATAAGCAACTTACCACCCCTCGTGGTAAAATAGAACCATCCCCTATTAGGAGCAGGAGTCACACTCAAATTATAAGATGCATGAAATTCAATAGGAGAGGCATCTTCATGATGCACTTTTCTCCACAATACCAGAAAACCCAGCAAAACCCTCCAACCATTAGGTGCCAACCGCCCTAGTGTCAATGAAATATAATGTAGAATACGAAAAATGGAAGAAAACATTGGGAACCTAAGCCCAGCCTCAAGCATCTCCTCGTAGACAGCAATGTCATCAGAGGAGTCATCACAAGTAGGCTTACCCATCTCAGCCTAATGGCACAGCACAGTTGGAGGAATGTGATAAACAGAAACAATCCTCAGAATATAATCATCAGTATTGAGCATACTAGAAAGGGTACTTACTTTGGACCCATCATCATCAAGAGCTACTTTGCTTCGGTGCTTTTTGTTGCGAGGGTGAGAAGGGTTGCTCGAACCACTACCAGAAGGGCTTGAAATCTGATTTTTAGAAGTTACATTTGAAAGAGTCGGGTCATCTGCCACATTACCAGAATTATCACCACTAAAGGTGCTCGGTGTGCTCGCCCGATTGCAATTAGCGCCCACAATTAAACCACGCTGGGTGCCTGACAGGCTTGCCCAAGCAGTGCCTAGTGACTGGCCAACTCACCCAACTAGTATCCCTCCTAGCGGCTCCGTATAACTCATCTCGTTCAGAGCCTGTGTTGCACACCTTGCCATCCCACCTAGCTGGGCACCCAATACCTATGTTGCGCACCCAGCTATCCCACCAAGCTGGAGTGATGCCTGCTCAACCCCGCGCACAGCAAAGCCTCTTCTACTCTCCTACTGTGCTGCGCGCCCAGCTGCTCGACGCATAGTAGCAGCTCTTAAAGCCTCCTTCTCACGCGCCACAGCGTGTCTAGCAGCAGACACCTCCTTTCTCCCCTCTCCTTCACCTAACGGGTTGTCCAGCACAGTAGGCACCCGCACCTTTCTCTGCTCGCCCCTCTACTCCATCACGCGGACACCGTGTGCGCCCAGGCTGCCCAATTCAGTGCCTAAATTGGCACCTAGATGGTTGTCTGGTTCAGCGCCTAAAGTGGCACCCAGATTGTTCCCTGTACGCAAAACGTGTAGACCAGCACATGTGAAGACCTTCGCTCGAGCAACCTTCATGCCCAGGCCAGCACGCTACTCACCCAAGTCAACACCACTCAGCGCCTACTCCTCCCTCGCCTCAACCATTGCACAAACAGCCGCCTCAGATAGCCCAATGGGTGTGCGAGCAACGACAACAGATGCCCCAAGCACCTTTACTCTGGTGCCTAGCAGCCCTCTCTCTTCTTCGAGAACAACGTTGACTCCTTCGAGCTCTCCATTAAGATTCACCAATAGCTACACATTATCTTCTCCAATCAACATGGCTTATCAAAGACTTAACTTGAGAGGTTCCTTGAAGGATTTTGGGAAAGGCTCAACCCAAGAGGCTCCTTGAAGGATTTTGGGAAATATAGTTCTCCTCCTCTCTCGAGATTGAGTTGAATGGTTAGAATGAAAAAGGAGATTGCTATTTATAGCTAGGGTTTTAAAATCTCATTGAAGAAACAAAACAGCCCCAAATCACAGCCAATGGCTCTTCAAGAATCAAAAAAAGGAAAGGAATGAAGGAGTTTATATAATCAATGGAGTCCTACAAGCAAAAGGAGTCTATTGGAAGGGAGAGGGTCGTGATAAAGAAGAGTTTTCAAAAAATTCGGATTTAAAAAGGGTTGTATGCTATTTTGACCCTAATTTTTGATTCAAAACTCCAAACGGGGCTTATTATATATCAAATTCAAGCTCTCGACGAGCTGTACAAAACTCACTGTCTTTGGCAATGAAATATGCAGTAAATATTCCAAAAAAGGCCCAAAAATATATGTTTTGGGCTCCCAAAGTTTTTCATAAAAAAAAAATTCAGCTACCTGCTTGCCCAAAATCGCACGCCCAGCTTCTTACTCGTTATTTTGACCGTAACTTTTGCTCTGTTACTTCAAATGGGGCCCATAATATATCAAATCGAAGCTATCGACGAGCCCTACAAGATATATAGCCAAATGCTATGATTGATGCTGTTTAAAGTCCAAAAAAGGCCTAGAAACATATATTTTGGCCTCCCAAAGTATTTCCAGTTATGCCGATCATCCATAAGTTTAAACTCAAACTGAATGTCCTCCTTTCCAAGTTTTGTTAGACGTAGGGCATTGGGGGAGCAAATGATGGGCCAAGCCCAAGGGCCTAGCTTAAATTATAAACTCGGTCTGAGTTTATAGCCCATCTCCAAGAGATCCAGCAAGTCCAGTTTAACGTGGTTAACCCGGTCAAGCTCATCAAACTCAAGGAGCTACATTAGCAGGGAGCATGCAGGGTCATCCAAGGCCACATCCTCACCACCTTGGAGAGATTCAATCCTCATCTCATCCTTTGACTGAGTCCCATAGAGAGTATTGTAACCGTCTTGCCCGTTAAAAAGAGGTCACCACCTCCGTCGGATCAGTTATTTAATTACTATTAAATCACATCAAGCCGTTATTGTGATGCCCCTAAAACCAGGGGTCCTGTTTTGACTGTTGACCACCCGTCAACCCGCAAAAGTACCTGTGATTGTCGTACAACCCGACATCACGTCAATAGCATCCCCTTAACCGGGATCATCACCCACACGTGTAACCCGTGTACGTTATACCATTTGACCAACTAAGATCCAATATACCACTATTTATCCTCATTTGATGTCCATTTGTATCCTTGGAACCAAAGAATCCATGGTCCAAAAGTATGGCAAGGCAGTTTTAAATTTTTGAATTTTTGGAGAACATACCGGTAGGACCTATAGGTAGGTTTTGTCTACTAGAAAAGTCCTACCGGTAGGTTTTCCCTGATAAACAAAGTTCTGCCTGTACGCGATCCTACCGATAGGTGTTGCCCACTGGACAGCGATTTACCGGTAGGTTTTGTCCAGATTTGCTTGTTTCACCTGTTACCTACACCCATGTCTAATGCCCGTGGATGCGATGTCCCTTGCCAATGCAATGCAATGCACCATTGCAATATCAATGTCATGCCACATATGTAATGAATTTCATATGAATAATTTAACCACATATCTACATATTTTATGGCAAATCATCTCCCAAGCATATAATTACCATTATCCATCACAATGTTAACATATCAATAAATATATATTAACATTTTATACCCAAAAATAATCACGAGCATGTTAGTACATAAACCATGTCAATAACACACTTCATTCATAAAGGCACAATATAAACACATAGCATGCCCACATAATACGATTTTCATGAAATTTCACTAGTAATTACCACATATCCATTCTAAGTTAGGAATTTATTTTAAACCATTTCTATACCCATTTCATCATTTTCACAACAATAGGCAAGTGATATATAACTCTATCAACCTACCCATTCCATATAACCACCCTAGGTTAGAAAATAAATCAAAGTAAGAAGGAACCCTACCTCTTGAAGTGTAAAATGCCATTGAGAAACTCCATGACCCCAAAAACGAGCTAGAATCCCTAGCCGTGTAGCTCTCGTCGAGGAGATCAACTTTTGTTCTTGGCTCGTGTTGATTTGAGCACCGTAGGTTCGTAGATCGTAGGAGAAGTGAATTTCTCTCCCTTTTCATCTCTCTCTCTCTCTCTCTATCGGGTGAACGGTTGAACAAAATGGGGAGAAATCTGATATTTCACCCCTTTTTATACTCCCAAAACACTTGATCCACAACGCGGCACACGACCCTTTTTTTTTCAAGTCCGTTTTTACCTCGAAATGATTAAATTTCGTGTCAATTTAAGTTCAAAATATTTTTATTTTAACTTGCCTCAAATTATTTTCCAACTTTCAAAATTTTATTAAAATTTCATTTTTTTGGGTCACCCGAGACTCGACTGACTCGTAAAATGCAAAAAATCCGACTATCTCATAATTCAATGAAAATTGACGGGGAAACTAGATTTTGTGAGACGAATCGAACGGTGAGAACTGGTTCTTTATCCGAGTTCTAGAAAATTTTAGATTTTTAACCCGTACCGTAGCGACAAATTACTATTTGCCCTTTTTTTGTGAAAAGTTCAAATTTACCTGGGTTTTAAATTCTTCCCCCTTAAAAGAATTTCGTCTCCGAAATTCACACACACATATACACACTTAACCGCATGCATATGCAACATTAATATTACACTTAAAATTATAGAAATGTACCTCCATCCTCGAGCAGGAACAAATAATTGGTACATATGGTGTTCTCACGCTCCCACGTCGCCTCCTCCACACCTCGGTGCTGCCATAGCACCTTCACTAGCCTCATAGTCTTGCCTCGCAAAACTTGCTCCCAGCTATCCATGATATGCATTGGTCCCTCCTTGAAGGTCCCATCCGCATCAACAATCAACTCACCCCAATCCATTACATGTGTCAGATCTGGAGTATACTTCCTAAGCATAGAGACATGGAATACTGCATGAACACCCGATAAATTTGGCGGTAATGCCAATCTGAAGCCACTGTACCCACTCTCTCGAGTACCTCGAAGGGGCCAATAAACCTCGGTGACAGCTTTCCTTGTTTTTCGAACTTGTCCACTCTCCTCTTACACATCATTTTCAAAAAGATGTGATCTCCCACCTCAAACTCCAGAGGTCGCCGCCGTCTGTTGGCGTAGCTCTTCTGCCGGCTCTGAGTTGTAATAAGGCATTTCCGTATCAAGTCCACCTTCTCTGAGGTGTCTCTGATCAAATCGGGACCCATAGAGGATCTCTCTCCCACCTCCGTCCAGCACACCGGAGAATGACAAGGCCTCCCATATAGTGCCTCATAGGGTGCCATCTGAATGCTCGCCTGATAACTGTTGTTGTAGGCGAACTCCACTAAGGGTAAATGCTCTTCCCAGCTACCCTTGAGATCTAGGATGTATGCCCGTAGCATGTCCCCTAAAGTTTGGATGGTCCTCTCCGATGGACCGTCCGTCTGGGGATGAACAGCCATGCTCATCATCAACTATGTCCCCATGGCCAGTTGAAAACTCTCCCAAAAGTGAGCTGTAAATCTGGGATTCCAATCCGATACTATAGATACGGGTACCCCATCCAACCGAACAATCTCCCGTATATACAACCTACAAAATTCCTCTAGTGTGAAGGTCATCCACACTACCAAAAAGTGTGCCAATTTTGTAAGCCAGTCCACTATCACCCAAACCGCGTCATGTCCCCGCGATGTCCGTGGCAAGTGCGTCACAAAATCCATCGTGACATGCTCCCACTTCCATTCAGCTACCTCCAAAGGCTAGAGTAACCTCGCTAGTCTCTAGTGCTCAGTCTTGACTTACTGACTCGTGAGACATCGTCTGACAAAGTCCCCAACGTGTCTCTTCATTCCGCTCCAATAATACTGGCGACGAAGATCATGGTACTTGTTCGTGCCACCTGGATGCACAACAAATCAGGACCAATGGAACTCCCTAAGGATCTCCTCTCTCAGATCTGCCAATTGGGGAACCATAACCCTTCCCTTATACCGAAGATTGTCATCCGACTGAATGGCCCAGCCCTCATCATCGGTACCTGTTTGCACTCGGTCCTTGATGGATAATAACTCTGGGTCTTGTCCCTGGGACTCGATCACCCTGATCAGTAGGGAGGGCGTAGCCTCTAAGCTCCCCAAAACACCCTGGGTCTGATCCCCTACAGTGTAACCTGAACTATCCCACAGTATTGAGTATTAGCCACTTTTGGGAAGCCACACTTGCCAAGACTCCCCGTGACTTCTGGCTGAGTGCATCAGCCACCATATTTGCCTTCTCGAGATAGTAATGCAAAGCGAAGTCATAGTCCTCCAAATACTCCATCCACCTGCATTGCCTCATCCCGCTGTGTAAAGATGTACTTCAGACTTTTGTGGTCTGAAAACACCTTGAACTGTTCACTATATAAATAGTGGAGCCAAGCCTTCAATGCAAAGACAATGGTCTCCAACTCCATGTCGTGTGTGGGGTAAATCTACTCGTGGTTCTATAATTGTAGAGAACCATAAGCCACCACTCTCCCAGACTGCATCAAAACACACCTAAGTCTGTCTCTGGAGGCATCACAGTACACCGTATACATT